TGAACATGCCGCCGGTGCGGTAGTGCGGCCGAGATTGTGGCAGCGGCTTCATTGTTGCTGCAGGTGCATGTTGCCTCAACAATGCCATAAATTGTGACATTGCTTTTTGCTCAGCCCCTCTCTCTCGCTCTCTCTCTCCCTGTATCCACCCTCCTTCTCCACTAAGAGAGATATATATAGAGAGAGAGAGAGAGAGACTATGGCAAAAACTTCAGCCTGGCTAATTCTTTTTTTGTAGTCCAGACATCGGGCCAACAGCAGGGGCAGAAAAAAAAAAGCTTAGAACGAGTTTTGGCATTTACGACTCACTCTGGGATCTCTTTCCCTCACCCTCTCCCTCTGTCTCTGTCTCTGTCTGTGGCTGCCACAAGAGCAGTAGCCACCGCCACCGCCACTGCTGTCGATTTTGTTGTTGCAGTTGTTGTTGTTGTTTGTTCTCCTCCTTGGATCGGATCTTGTCGCTTGCCGCTTGCCGCATTATGTTGCTGCTTAATTGGTTATAAATTAATTAAACGTCGATTAATAATCCGGCTTCTTGTCAGTTAAAACCGCCGGCCAAGTCGGCGTTCGGTTGGTAGTAGGTTCTGGGCTTGGGAACAAGAACACATTTCTGCTTGCTGCTTGCTGCAACAATAAGCCAAGCGTCTTGGCCAAAGCTCTGCCTCAGTGCCGCACACAGATACACCCTCACACACACATTGCCACGTGATGAGATGGCAATAATGAACTTGTTGTTGTCGCTAACATTTGCTGCCATGGCCTGAACTTTGTGTAGAAGCCAGAACAGCAGCAGCAGCAGCAGCAGCTCCCCAACAAGAACTCATTAATGGTACTAGACACAGAGCTGGAGCTGGAGCTGAAGCTGAAGCTGGAGCTTGGCCCAACGTTGGACCCCAACACAGAGGTAGACCCCAAGGCAGACCTAGGCCCCGGGTATCAATGACCATTTGGGCGTTCGGCTGCCCGTTCTGCCACTGCTGTCAGCCGCTTGTCAACGCCAGAGAGACGCCGCCGTCGAGGAGGATGGTGGACCAGAGACAAAAGGTTATGGGTTAAGGTCAACAGTTAGCAGCGAAATATGAGAATATCCCATTCGGTAATTGGACAAAATCATTGATTCCACAGCTAGAGCTAGAGTGTGGGTAAATGTGTGAACGGAAAGCGTTTAAATATTTATAATAAATTAATTATTCAGTGAAAAAATCTAAACACGAACGGGGGTAACTTTTATGGTAGCTGCACCACAAAACGAATGCCAAATGAATCATTTGCGAGCAAGAAGGCGAATCATGGCATCTAAAGAAATAAATAATGAAGTTATTCATCAGACAATTTGTAGAGAATATTGTTCAATGAAATGGTTAAAATTGTTATTATAATGGGAAAATGGTTAGCAGGAGATGGTTTATGAGGGGAAACTTTACAGAAAGTGAACTGTTGAAATAGGATATATTGTGATTTAGGTTATTCTCAGCGCAAGTAAACCTTCTTCTCAGGGTAATTTGCTTTCCCTTTCGATTCGTCAACGATTGATTGCTAACCAAACAAGCCCAAAGTTGTTTAAAGGACTCAAATCGGTTAAGTCGTTACGGATGGTGGTTCGGGTTTTGTTTTACAATGACGATCGTTTCCCCCCATTTATGTTATTTAATTATTTGACATTTCGAATCTTCTTTGGCTACTTGTGTGCCTCTGTTTTACTTCTTCAATTCGAGTATCAATCTTTTCACCCACTCTTTTTGCCTCCAACTATCACCAATGGATCCATCAACTCCTCCAACATTTCGCCCCCTTCTTTCCTTTCCTTCCCATCCCTTCCCTTCTGTTCTGACCCTCCGAAGGCTTTATAGCACTCTCTAATCGGAGAGTTATTTGATTTGATTTCCCATACAGAAAGAGACTGACAGCGAGACTATGCTAGAGTGAGAGAGCATGCAAATATTTACACCACAATGTTGTTGTTGTTGTTGTTTTTGTAGTTTCAACACTTCTCTCCTCACCAACATCCAACATCCACATCCACTTAAAGCGACATCCAAGTGATGCCTTTTGTTGATCGAGTGCTTGCTACGCACTTCACTCTCTCTTGCCCCGCTCCCCGTGGCCAGCTCTTCATCTGACCATCTCTTTCACTCTTCATCTGTGTATCTCTTTCCCACTCAGGGCTGGCAAGGCAGCGAACGGTGAACTGCTACAGATACGAGACACTCGTATTCCAATGCTACTTTAACGCTCACGAAAATCATTTCTGGGTCTTCTTTTTTTCGGGTATTTGTTGGATATTTGTTGGGCAGTGGCGAGGCGATTAAATCACGGTCCAGCCCAAAAAAAACCACAAAGAAGGCCACCGTAGATCTTGGCGTATCTGTGGTGTTCGTCTTTTGTGTAGGCATCTCTCGAGTGGCGAATGCCTGACTGCCTCTTCAGGTGATTGTTGGCCCCATAGACGGGGTCGCATAATGATCCAGAAATCGTTACGTTCTCACGTTTAGCGCCCCGTCCGATCCCCGTTTTGGGACCAGGCTGGCCAACAAGTGCTGCTGGCCACCGCACACATACATGCCACACATACATGCCACACCATTGCGGGACTGCTGTAAAACGTCAAAATATACGAGCACAGAGCGATTTAAACTGTCAACGCGGCCGTAAACATTGCCAGTCGGAGAGTCGGAGCGGAGTCTGGAGTCTTGCCAAAACTGGAACTATTCAGAGCCGAAGCAGAGTGGCTGGCCAGCAGGCTACTTGTTGCCTCAAATTTGCTTATGAGCAAAAGCCCGAAACAGGCACGAACTCCACTCGAAGTTGGAGTCCAAGTCGAAGTCTTAGCCTCCGTTTCAGTCTGGTCTAATGTGGCTCGTAAATCCTGGGCCAACAGAGAGGTTCGGGGGCCCCGTTTTGGCCTGATGAATGTTGTGATGCGGCCGAGGCAGCACTTGGCCAGATTTACGCCCCGCAATTAACGTTCTAATCGCCGCAATTTGTTAGGAGCTAAACCTCTCGAAGCAGATAGATAATCAGCATCAACAAAATCAGACAACCTACAAGTCAATTCCGAGTGTCAACCGTCTGATATCACTAATGATGAGCAGGTATGTCTATCCGCAGATAGTCAGTGAATCAGCAGCTCTGCTTGCAGAATGTGGAATTAACTATAAGAATAGCAAATATTGGCTGTGTTTAAACTTTAAAGGGTTTGAAAGGAATAATATTGATAATCTTTCATTGGTTAATTGTTATGCATGCAATACAACAAAATACGGATATAATTATGAGTAATAATATACATATATGTAAGCCCACTTTTAAAAATCAAATGGTAGATCCAGCAACCACCCACGCACCACCCCCCGAGCTGGCCTTAACAGCTTTGCATTGTAAATACGCTACATTTATTTACATTTTAAATGTGTACACTGGCGCTACCAGGCGGAGAGCAGCTGAACTAGTCTGTAATTTTAACTACATTTTACATTTCCACACTGGCGCCGCAGCCGAAGAACAATGTTTACTTTCGTACATTTCAGCTCTTGTCAGCTACCGCCTGTTATGTATGTAATGCTATCGATATCGTCTCATCTCTGTAGGCGCGAGGTTCGAATGTGTACCATTATTAGCTTTCTTTTCTAAATAGCAGCGGAAAATGCTGCTGTCTACTAGAGGCATTCTATAAAACACAGATCTATAAGTATCTTTCATAAAACATATATATTTACTTGCTGGTAGTGAAGGATGTTTTCGTTTCGTCGATATGAATTATTTGGTTCACTTTGATTGCGCACAATGTCTAGCGGGAAAAATGAAGTGAACAATTTGTGGCCAAGAGGGTTCTGCCTTCTTCATCGAACGTTAGCAACGTCAGATCCGCCTTCCCGCTGGTAGGTTTTCCCTGTTGCACGTTGGACTGCCCTCGACGTATGCGTAATGTATTGCCCGCTACAGAGTATGCAATGTATGCAACGGCCAAATTGCACGCAAAGCTTTGCCATTGGCATTGAATTTTCCCTGTAACACTGTTGCTACGCCTTGTTGTGCCCAAAAAAGTCGCTGCTGCAAAGTATGTAAATATTTATGAATGTTTTTGTAATCAAGGTCAAGCTTTTAAACAGCTTTTTCGACGGCCTTTTACAAAACTTAAGTCGTGCAAAAGCTGCTTGGGAAGTTTTATTCGTTATTATATAGAATTTTGGTAGAGTTGAGAAATACGCTTCCAAAATCGAAATCACAATGAAGTCATGATCAACCTTCTGTTTCCATGAAAAATGGTATCTTAATTTTGAAGCTATTTCAATAGAATTTGTGAAACATTCTCCATTAGGAATTTACATAACTTGTAAAGATGTGTTCAAGGCTGGATATTATTGATAAACTTCTCTTTAAAAGCTAACAATTCTTTTTCAATTAAATTTTGCTCGACAAAAATTTTAGTTTTATTTTCAAGTGGTATTTTAAATACGAACAAACACACACACACATTTAAATACATTTCCTGTCATTCGTTGAATTTGTCAAACGCTTTTCATGCAACTACGAGTATTTCGACTTTTATTATGTTGCAACCAAACGCCTTTTGTCCAAGTTTGGCAATTTCATTTTATTTGCTTAAAATAGTTGTAAATATTTCAGTATTTACAAATCCCTTTATCCATAGGAGCCGTAGCCATAGCCATAGGAGCCATGGCCATAGCCAGGCGAATGGTGGTGATGGTGATGGTGTGGATAGTACGGTGGTGGCGGTCGCGGCAGTCCAATGGGCAGGGGCACGGGCACGACCACTACATGAGGTGCAGGCAGGGCTCCAACTATGCTCAGAAGTAGCACAATAAAGGTGATCACAGATTTCATGTTTCAGGCAAGATTTCACAACGAACTGATGAGAATTCGGAGCCGTGCTTTGGCTTTTAAACAAATCGGTCGCTCTATTTGCGGGGATTTTGCCAGAGCGTGGACAAACAAAGAGGAAACAAAGTAAATTTCACTCATCAAATGGTGTGAAATGGGGTTTACCCCTTCGAATATTGAAATTATTTACTTTATTTTTGCATAGCAAACTTTGGACAATTAAGTAAAGCTTTACACCGTTTATCACAAGACTCCTGCGGGATGGGAGGGAGGGATGGAGATGGGCGTGGACAGACAACATGCTTGTTAGGCACCCGATTTGGCATTCACTGTGAGCTGCTTGAAGTCGCGATCGCTCAACAGCTGCCATTTGTAGCCAAAGATCTGGGAGATCTCCCGCTCCACAGCCGCGTAGGAGCGCGAGTTTGTCCGGAGCCAGGCATGGAACTCGTTGCTCCATTCCGGATGGCGGGGCCAGTCGCAGCGCAGAATCACTGCGAAGCGTCTCACGTTCAAGTGTCGGAGATTCTTGGCCGTTCGTGCAATCAGCAGCAGCGTCGCAGTGGAGACTTTCTCCCGTATGGTCTGTGGAGGAGGCATAAGGTGCTAATTGAGCGGGAGCAACAGCGCAATGAGCACTCACCAGAGTGTCCAAGTTGAAGCATTGGCGGCACATCAGCACCAGCAAGCTGTCGATGCGGTTGTGGAACGGCTTGGGGCTGGAGAAGCGCGGCAACAGCTCGTGACCGTAGACGGCCAGCGTGTTCTTGTAGTGATCTATAATGCGGACAAGCAGGTGAGCCCTCACCCGAGCCTGTGGCGCCCAGTAGGTGATGCTGTGGACTGGCGCCTCTGGCTGCAGCACCACCTCGCCATCGACGAGATTCTCCAGCCTCAGATGCACGCGCATGCGCGGATTCGTCGTCTTTAGGCTGCGCCAAGCCTTGACTCCACAGGCGCTGATGGTCAGGTGACTGGGAGTATAGCAGTTTTGCAGTAAATACAGATGCCGCAGCGTTGTATCCGCTAGCAGAGACAGCACATCATCGTCTATGTTTTGGGGAGAAATGGTGAGCACCTGACAATGGAAAGTTACGATTAATTACGAGCAAAGTACTTAAAACAATGTTCCCCTTCCCCCTACCTGCAGATTGAGAAACAATCCCACATGCATGATGGGACAGTGTGTGGTGGTCACATTAACCAGATTGAGCACTCGCATCTTGGTGCAGCAGCTGCAGACGACTTCGTCCAGCAAATGATTCGCCTCGAAGCGCTCCAGCACAAAGTCCACTAGCTTCAGAGTGTGTAAGTCCGGCAGTCGCAGCAGCAGCTCCTTCAGACCCTTCAGCAATTGTCCTCCAGTGCCAAAGAGCTTGATGCCTTCCGGATCGTTGGGCTGGGACATGTTGCAGGGGAAATGATATACCAGAGAGCGTATGCGACGACCCATGCCAATAAGCTGCGGCTCGGCGTTCAATTCGCTGCCCTGCAAGACAACGAAAGGTTGGAAAGCGGAACCAACAACTTTTTGGCATCCTCTCACTTTGTCCATGCTCCAGGAAAGCATTGTCATGAACTGGTAGATGTTGTTGAAGCTGTGCCACGGCCGGAACTCGATGCCTCGCAGGTGACGGCCAATTCTCGACAGGCAGTTCTGTGTGCGCATATGATCGAGACAGTACTGCCAGCCCGAATAGTAGTTGTATTTTGGTCTCGTCAGCGTGCGATCATCGACCACAAAGTTGTTCCAAACTGTTGGCAAATAGAAGGCCCGATGCCATTGGCGGCAGACCTTGAAAACCATCGCAGGAAAGAGTTCTTACAAATTGGGGGGTACGAGTACGAGTCCACTCTACTCACCAGACCAGAATAGTAGCGCTCTTTGGGTGTGAGGTAGGTAAAGATTTCCTCGAGTATCAAGTCCGGAAGGTAGCACCACTTCGATTCGACGCTGGTTTCATTATCGTTATCCTCATCGACGTCTATGTAGCAGGCTGGCAAAAGGTTGTTGGCATAGTTTTTGTATATTATATTGATGACTGGACAGGCAAAGAAGTCGTGTGTTACCTTTTTCGTTTTCATCGATCTTCCAGCCCGCCTTTTGCATAACATCCAGCTGGGTGCTGCCCTTGCGTGCTGCCACACTCATTGCGGACATCGTTTCCTACCAATATTATTATTTATTTTGGGTGCAATCAATTTATTTACAACACAAATAGAAGGCACATCACTATATGTACTCTAATTTTGAATATTTTTTTGGCACAGCCTGCTCGGGTTTGGTTTTTTCTTTCTTTTTGTTTTCGGGTTTATTTTTATATAGTTTAAAGATCGGTCGCAACCGTCCGCTGCATTCGCAGTTGCGTCGTCGCGCCTGGCCACCGACTGTCTCCCGAATAGAACATAGATCGCGACTCTTTCACAAGATTTAAATCGCCCTGCTGCTGGGGCTATTTTCGAAGACCCCAACTGAGAAACTGTTTTCTTTTCTAGTTTTCGAAATTCGATTGCCAAAGATTCGGCTCTTCTTTTCCCCATTTCGCTTTCATTTCGCTCTCATTTATTTTGGTTAATATTTTTTGTTGATTCTCGGACGATGATACGTTCGGAGAGATATGGCAACTGTTGTGATTTCGATTCCGAATCCGATTCGTTTTTGTTTTCATTTTTCTTTCTATGTGTTTTAAAATTAGACGCCGGCATTTTGGGCAAGGTCTTAGGGCCTCCGTTGACTGCTGTGTGGCACGGAACTGGGGCAACTTGTTGATGTTGCTGCTGCTGTTGCTGCTGCCGCCACCGATGCTTGGGCTCTTGAGGTGTAAATTTATAAATAAACGTTTCTGTTGTTTCGGTTGTCTGGATTTGTTGTGATTACTTACGTGTGAGTCGATTTCCTACATTTCCTACAAAACGGCTAACAAAACTTGCTGGTTCTTAAAACAGCACAGCACAAGCTTAACAATCTTGTTTTTTTCCTCGGACGGGAATCCGGAACAGCTGAAGGTCCAGGAAAATTCCATCTGTGGCAGCTAACCTTGGCCTTTATGTCGCTTTGACGATGCCATCAACACGTTGCACGTGGCCGGCCGTTAGCCCGCTATTCAGTTTTGCTTTTAATCCTCTTCAACGGAAAAAATCTACATTTTTTGTATCTGTCATTACTGGCTGCATTTTACGGACCCGTATAATTAGCAGCAACAGCTGTTTTTTCTGATAAGCTCACGCCAATGAGGATGAATTTTTCGTACCTTGCAATTTTCTCTTTGCATTGCATACTTTTGGGAGAACTAAAAAATTTAGGTGGAATGTAGGTTGCATTTTATTTAAAGCTCCCATTAAATATTCTTTTAAATGCAGAAGAGCGGATAATTATGTTGCTACTTGACTAGTTAATATTAAATAAACGTTTAGACATAATGGTTCGATGGATATACAGAAATACTCGTTCAATTTGTATTAACTCGATATAATGATATTTAAGACTATCTGCATATATGTACATACATATATATGTACATATTTATGTACATACACATAGGTATCATTGCCACTCAATCTAACCCATCTTCAATTCACAGCAATCTCAGGTTCTTTCCATGACAGATTTTCAATTAAATCCCCGTATATTTGTCTTTTTAATTGAAATGTCAGCAAAGGGGTTAGGCACAGGGGGGGTGGAAGTGCCGAGACTACGAAGTGTACTGCCTAACTGCTGATGATCTGTGAGATGCCTTGTTGCGATGCCTTTTGGCCTTTGGCTCTTTCCTCTAATTAAACTTGAATCAAATCAAGCGTAAACTCAATGAAACTGCCATAAAATCTGGAATTTAGTTGCTCCCAAGGCGGAATTCGTGTTGGCGGTGGATGGAGATACTCAGGTTTATTACAGAGTCGCGACAAAATTTATGCGAAAGCGATTAAAGGCGCGTTAAATTCTATTCCTGATGGACAGCTCTTACGGCTTCTTTCCCTTGTGTGTGGGTGCTACCAGAGAGCACACGGCTCTCTTCAGTAAATAATAAAGCAGCGTTGCGCCTAAAAGCATTCCACGAACACTTCGAATCGACTTTAGCAGCTATTCCAGCGTGCTTGTGTATGTGTATTTTGTGCGCTTAAAGGATTTTGACCTAATGCGTACGGCCTGTTTTTATGCCGCTAATGTGCCATTTTCCAATGGCCATAAAAATGCCGTTAATGCCGGTGCTAAAGCAACGCGACGCAAAACACTCGCAGCGTGTCAAATGGAAATCAGAGCCAAAGCTTTAAGGATCGATAGCTTTACATAAGTTTTTCTAGATTCTGAAATGCGAAAGTAAAACGGAATCCTGGATTGTTGATAAATTACAGATAATTTATTGGCTATTGGAAAGTGGAAAATGATTGCTTGCAATTACCCCATCACCTGTACTCTCCAAAAACTTAGTTCAGCTTAACTTTACTCTCAACGTATGCACAATATATACTTTTCCTGCCTTTTTTTATTCAATTGGAAGCGATTAAAATGCAAGTGCTTTTTCCTTTTTTGTAACTGAATTTGGCTACTATTATGATGCGAAAATTATTGCTTTAGTTTAAAACTTTGCTTAAACTCCCATTAAAAGTTGCATAAATCTGAAAGCCAACAGAGTAAAGGGCTTTTTCCTAACACAATCAACAGAAATACAGTCTGAAATACAGTCTGAAATACAGTTTCTGGTAATTTATAGCGCAGCATATTTCCGGGCACACGCTCGAAGCGACACTTTCGGTTACCAAATAATGGAATGAACTACAAAATAATGGAATGGACTTCTGGCTAGCATATAAAATTGTTAGCCAGCAAATTACAAATCAAGCCAGTGGGACGCCAAAAGCAATTCTGCTCTCGGAACTGAGCAGGAGTGGAGGCCAATGGCTGTCGGATGAGATGGTCCACTGAAAGTAGAGGGAAAGTAGCGTGAAGTGGCTAAAGGGGCGAAAAACTTTCCACTGCCTTGGGAAGAGAGTAAATTTGAGATGGTTGAATTATCGAAACGGTGATTACGAAGTGAACATCTGTTCAATTTACAATCTTGTAGATTATATCTTTACTATAAGCAGATGGTAGAGGCGGAAGGGCCTTATGCCCCTGTTAACTAACTCATTCATAAAGTCTGTTCGCAGCAAAGAAAAACATTAAGTATCAGACTTACCAAGGAACACAAATCTGTAGCTTAAGCCCACACAGAGAAACTTTTCCGTGACTTGAGCTCACATTTCGGGAGCAAGTTTCCATTTGTTGGGGAAAAATATTTTGACAGTGTTGCATGTGCTGTGCAATATGTTGAGAAAACAGAGCGCAGAGCTCTCCCCTCCCGTCGAGCACAAGTTTTTGTTTTGGGCACTTTCATAGTGCAGTCACGCCACGCAACCCTTGAGGCAGGGCAGCAACGCTACCGAAACAATGAACCAAACAGAGAACAAAAGGAACTTGGGCGGAATAAATGGAATAATTAGTCAGCGAAACGATGAACCAAACTCCAGTCCAATGTGTAAAAGTTGTGAATTTAAAAAAGAAACCCGCCACCGAACAGGTGCAGCTGCCCAACACTCTCTATCTCTTCTATCTTGCTCTAATTGTATCTATTTCTATTTTTCAGTTTTTCTCACTTTCTCACAAGAAATATCCCAATGGCACCCAACGGAATCGGGAACGAATGACCAGCAGGCAGAATATACGAGTAGAAACATATTCTCTTGCCAGTAAACAAAAAAAAAAGAAAGCTAAGGGACGAGCGATTTTTGTTGATTGGATATTTGTGGGTGTACGGATGTACATGACAGCGTCGGACCATGGACTGTTGGACTGACGGCCATCCATTGATTTTCGCTCAATTGGCGGCGTTGTCTATCCCCCACGAAAACAGCTGCCGTGATGAGGCGAAAACAAAAATATTACATTGGATGAGCGCGTGTTTCGTTTCGCCTTTTTTGTTGCCCATAATTCATTTGGAGGAAATTTCTCCCATCCCATAGGGGAGACAGCATTCCTTCAACTGCTGCTGCGCTGCGCTGCGCTATGCCTGATGGCCGGCCGCCTGATCATCAATGTCCGGTGTGGCGGAGGCGTTATTTCCCATTATTATGTTATTTACATTTATTGTTGATTCATAACAAATTGCTAAGCATTGACTAACGAGCGCATATTGTGGCCGAAAGGTCAAAGGCCCGGATCCAATCGCACGCACACCTTTGCAGATGGAGGCGCAGCCTGAAAAGTGCACATAATTATGAGAAGTCTTCCCCAAGACGGAAACCGCCTGAAGGTTTGATGAGAGTACATTGGTTCTACTCACTTAAAACTAGAGATGCTTGTCAAGATCTCCCCCATGATTCATCCACAATAATCAGAGTCTCTGAAAGAGTCAAGCTCGCCTGGGCGATGGTTTGCCTCCTGCTGTGTTTACCTTCGATAATCGAGCAATGAATGTGAAAGAGCATTCAGGTTTCGCCATTGTGGCGTCTTGCTGACGCACAGATTTATGAGCTCCGTATAAAGATATAAATCATGCTTGGGTAACGTTCATTATGCTTTCTTCTGGAAGGAGTCTGCTTAGTGCTTGCCACGATGAAATACAAAATTTTGTACGTTTTATGGTCCGGCCAAAGGGCTTTCTGTAATAAATGGCATCGGCACCCAAAGCCATACAAATTGCTAATTATCGTATATTCACCTAACAGGGGCTCGCCACAGATCGCCTGCCACTTGAGTTTGTTTTCGTTTGGGCTCTCACTTAAGGTATACTTAAGGTGACAAGTATTTTGCGATTTCATTATCATTATCATTATTATGTTCATTATTGGACTTCCTTTTTCTTCTACATGCTCCTACCACATAGATTTTGTGAGAAATATGTATGTTAGATAATCGATAAAGAAAAAAACATTGAATGCAAAAACCCAAAGCGTTGCAAGCATTTTTTGTTATTTTTGTTTCGTTTGCAGGAGGTCACTCGACTGGAATAAATAAGGGAATAAAAATAGAAGTGATACAAAAACGGAAAGCAGAAACACGAGTAATGTGTCTGTGGTTTGTCTGTAGTTCCTGTTCTCATCCTCGTCCCCCTCCTCGTCCCGCTCCACGTTCCTAAACGAAATTACGCTTTCAATTTCAATTGTAGCTGCTGACTGAATTGTTTATTGCTTTGCCATTTTCGGTGCCGAATTTCCTACTGGCAATTGATTGTGAGTGTGGACACAATCAATTTTTCCAAATCGTTTGGCAGACGACACGCATTAAGCTGTCAAATGGACAGCAATGGCTACGCTACCATCATTCATCATTGCGTTGCCGAATTCGATTCCAATTCAGAGTCTAATCAAATCAAGTCTTCAGTTAGGGAAATGCCAATGCGCATTACTATTGCTCGATGACAA